GTTTGTTCGAACAGTGACATAGATTCAAGGAACTTCAAGTACATTCCGACTAAAAGAAAACACCCCTTGTTCACACCATCCAATACTAGGAATAACAGAATCTCTCACCTATTGATAAAACTCTTATATGTCTCTTATCTTACATAAAGGTGAAATAAGTCCCGGGTTGTTCTCAAAGGAACAGCAAGTACAAGTCAGGCAGTGCTCAGTGCTGAAGAAAGTAGGTAGAAACCGATGCTTGTCAGTTGGCTCAGTGTTGTTGTTATGTTCATCCAGAACTAGTCTGATACCTAATATTTTCTGAAAACATACATAATCAAATTAATCCCAGAAAATGGCTGAAAAATGGGATGTTAAAGGATTATCAGAGATCTTTTTTTCTGACATAATAAACCCTTGTGCATCATGCAAAGAAATACAAGTATAGATTTTTAAAGTTCAAATGTAAGAGTCTCTCAGTTGATAATCTTCATAAGGATGCCGTGCAAGTTTCCAAGTACATGACATGGCTGCTGAAAGATTAAAAGTGATTAAAGGAGGGGGAAAAATAGGCAGCAGCATAGATTTTCTTTTAAGGTGTTCATGTGCCCATAGTGCAAATGGGAATGACAATGATGAGGATGATGGTCACAACAGTTGCGATGAGGGCAACCAGCTTGCAGATCTTAAGGCGGCGGAGGTTAGCCTCTTTGCGCCTCAGGAGGGCGTCGTAGCCTGGAGTGTAAATGTCATCCACCCAGAACTCCAGATTGTTTGGGTTCAGAGATTCCTGACCCTGAGAAAAGAAGCACAGTGTGTTGTATCTGTTGACAAAATGATAATAATAATAAATGGCTGTAACTCCTTTAGCCCTTTTAGAGTCAGCATTTTCTACCTGTAAGTCCAAAGGGGAGATTCGTGCTTCTCTGTCATCTACGGTCCATATGGGTCTCCCTCTTCCTTCGGCCAGTCTGGCATCAATGACCTTCCCGGAGCCAAGCCCCCTTGTCAGGCTGCTATCTTTGTGACGGAACAGTGAAGAGTTAAACACTTGTTCCACCATGCTGGTTGGCTTTTGGGAAAGGAGGTTAGTAGTGCTGTCTGACTGATCTCCCTGAAATAAAAACACATCAAATTTTATATATTATTATTATATTTTCAATTAAAACTGTCCCACATCCACATAATAAAGCCTGTATACTCTCCAGGACACAAATACAGGCATGGCTGCACAACACTAATTTACACATCATGCAAAAACAGTAATTTTGACTTCAAATTAGTTCTAGTCCATTGTATTTCATTTCATCCGGAAACATAGAATGCATTATTATGTACCATTTAAACAATAAAACAAAAAATCTGTAAGACACCCTTATACCTGTCCAATTTTCCTCTGGGAACCTTTGCCATCTTTACTTTTGGAAAATGACACTGGCCAGTCTCTTGCAGAGTTAGGGATGTTCAGCTGTTTGGTATCAGAAAGACCTTTTTCTTCAAGTTGGGTTTTTGAGGTGCGGCGAGATGATGCATCCTTCTTCCCCTCTTTATGACCTTTGGAATCCGTTTGACCTTTACTGCTTTCCGTTTGATCCCCTGTGGTCATCAGTCGGCTCCAGTCCAGGCTACTCGTACTGGTCCCTGGAAATAGTTGCCCAGTTGCAGAAAGAGGCTGAGGTTCTGATGACTCAGAGGGAGTCATAGGGTGGCTCATAAAAGAGGAGACACCACTGAGAGGCTCAAGCCATGTACCACCAGTGGTTTGACCACCACCAACAATAGGCTGCTGGATCTTTTCATCCAATCGCTGCAAAGCAGAGAGAACCTGGGAAATCTCCGCCTTTACGTCATTCAGTGACTCTAGCTGTCTTTCTATCTGACTCATACGAAGCAACAGTTTGCAGACACTTGCTTTTAGCCCATCATCACTGCTTTCCAGGGAATGGAAAAGTCTTTGGAGTTGACCAAGACGACCACGTCGAGCCTCAGGGGTGTCCTGGTTAGCACTGCCATCACTGGGGTGCAGTACTCCCGTGGAGCCACACATGCTAATGTCATCTAAGAATCGAAAGATCGCACTGATGTCATCCTCACCAAACTCAGGGTCGTCTAGCGAAGTCATGAAGGAGAGCCGATCAGCATGAACCAGGCTCCGGAGTCTCCGAGGATCTGGTGGGTCAGTCTGTGTTCCCTGAGCCTTCAGTTTATCGCCTCCAATTTGCACTCCGCTGTCTATATTCTCACATCCTGAGGATCCACTTATAACAGGAGTAGATCGCCTTGGAAGGTGTGCCGCCTGGGGTTCCATCCCTAAGTCAATGCTGCCAGCACCTATCTGATCCTCTAGACTGTGACTTTTATTACTCCAGATGGCCCGCTGTGTCCTAGGTGGTCGAAGGTGCCGGGGAGAAGGATCCGGCATTGAGCCTGGTCCAAAGTAAGTTGAATCCTGCAGATCATCAAAGCTCTCATGTTTAGCTTTAGCCCGCTTTTCTGGTGACACATGAGATGCTGTAGGCGACGGGTACGGATTTGGGATTGATTCAAAGTTGAGATTGTCGAAGCCTGCACGCCCTGCTTTGGGACTGGGAGACTCACTGTTGACAGTCACCTGTGGTATTAGAGGAGGCTGGTTGTGAAAGTCTTTCCTGAAAGTGCTTCTCTTCTGGTCAGCCAATGATTCCTGTTCAGCTTCAAAAACTTCCATTGCAGCAGATTCTCCACTCGACTCACTGTCTGTTTCCAGAGGCAGGTAAATATTCTTCATTACCTCATTGAGACTTGGACTGCTGGAGTATGAGTATGTAGTGTGAGGCAGGTCAAAAGAAACAGCCCTTGTCCGGACGGGTGGGGAGGACACAAATGAAATGGGATCCGGGGGAAGACTTCCGCGCTTGCGAGCAGAGTAATTCGATTTTGGAAAAAGCAAGTGCTGGTCGATAGGCCTCCCACTGGAGTCAGAGTGGACACGTGCTCGTTCTCGACCAGGAGTGTTCAGGGGATGTAAACCAGGCAGGCTGGGGCCAGGGGACTGGTCGACAGGGATTATTCTCTGGCCTCTCATTGGATGGCTGGTTTCAGAGACCCCACCAGTCATCTGAATTAGATTGAAGATGGTCACGATGTCTGCAGCGACACCTATTGGGGAAAGTGCCTGGCCTCTGGTGGAAACCCGGTCTCGGAACAAAGTGGCGGGGAAACAGGGGTCACTGCTGGCAGCAGCAAATAACAAAGCCCTCAGCTCAATTAGGTGGTCGAGATCAAAGCGCGTGCTGACCATGCGACAAAGGTCCTGGAACGTCAGCCACTGGCGCATATTCGCCAGCTCCTCCAGGATGCCCAGGAGGACTCTGGGATAATCCTGCTGCAGGTCCGCCATTGCAGCTCACCTGTTGGGAATATCAAATAATGAGCTAAGTATAAACAGGTTTTATCTTAGTTATAAGAGAAAGACTTGTAAACAGTGCTGTAGTGTAATCATTAAGGTTTTCTTTTATTAAACCAAATGATAGCCATTGATAACCTGTGCAATTTAGCAGGTCCTACTGCCACATAAATTAATTGGCAATATTACAATTGCAGGTTACCCAAATCCTTAAATCATCAGAAAATGATGATTTAATATTCTTAATCTGCATGTTTCTTTGGGATATAACAGATCAACTTAGATGGATTACTGCAACCTTCTTGGCATATTTGCCAGAAATAAAAGCTTATATGAGATGGGAGTGAGAAGCAATTCAGGACTCTGAAGCGACCTTATTTTGTGGTCCTAAAATAACTGGTCATCTGATCTAATGACGCCGTCACACTGCGCACATCCTTACCTCTGAGGACACCTTGCTTGGACTTTCTATTAAAAACCTCAAATCAAAAATGAAAATTTGCTAGTTTTCTCTTAATGAAAGAAATCCAATTAGCATAATTAGCATAAACACATAACAAGCCCTTCTATCCATCATTAAAAAAATCTACATCGACACCTTTTTTCTTTGAGGACTCTTCAGTAAATTCAGTGTGTTGCAAAGATACAGTAACCCTAGCTCCTTTTACCTGCATCTATTTTTACTCACCTGGATCTACTAGGAAAGATTTAAAGCTGCTCTTGAATCCATCAACAAAATCCACATTAACGTGTCTGAATATTCCAAGAAGCTGTGGCTGGGTCGGCTCATCGTCCCCTCACGGTCCTTTCTCAGGCTTTCTCCGTTTGTAAAAGCGATGAGCCCAGAGCCCAGGCAGGAGAGGAGAAAATTAGAAATCAGGTCATCTTCCCACAAGTCCCTGCAGGCCCCTGAGGGACCTCAAAATACATCCAAGCGGTTTCCCCTCATCACAGATCAGCAGTGACAATACTTGCAAACTCGATAACACGAGCACACATCTAACAGGAGACGCACAGACAAACTTGGCAGGTCGACCCCCGACATGTGTGAGTGGATCTGAATCATATTTTCTCCAGTTGCCATAACAAAAGCTAGTTATGGGTGCTAGCTTAGCAATTCAATTAAAGGTTCAAATTAAAAATTTATGTTTGTTAATTGACACACATAAAACCCCAGCGCTGACAGGAAAAGCAAAGGTCTGGGCTAAAATTTCCTGTTAGATTGCTGCACACAGAGATGACTGCCAGACTCCCAGACTTTTCACCATTACTCTGCATTATCGTCTATAAGGGCTTGTACTTAAACCCCATTAGAGCAAGAAAAAGGGCGAGGCTTTCATTGTTGAGTAGCAGCACTCTGCTACAATAGGGAAAGACATCTCTTGATCTAACAACTTGCTGAGGAGGAGTGCAGGGCATCCATCATCTCAATGCACTCAAGAATCAATGCAGTGAATGAGCCACAGTGTGGGTGTGAGCATAGCCAGCAATGCATTACTGTCAAACCTGCTGTGTTGTAGTTTCAAGTTGAGAAGAAAGAACCAAACTTGACAAGATCAGTTGCTTTATCATATTTGACTTTAATCGTTTCATGGTAGGGAAAAAAAGTGTAAAATAACAATTCAGTCCAGTTTTACATAAAAAAATAAATACTCTGATTATTGTGTATAGATTTCAGCTTAGATTATCTCCCTCCTTTCTTCTTTGAATTTGATTTGACCGTAGGAGTGGCAAACAGTGGAGTTAGAGATGGATTCAAAGCTGGATCTAATGCTGGGTTCAGGGCCAGGAGGTCCAGAATCGTGGCGCTTTGTTCCCCTGTTAAAAAATGAAAACATTTTCAAAAGGACAGAAAATACTGAGAGGTTCATCCCTTGATATCTGAACTTCAGGTGTTTAAATAATACTAGATAAAAACAGATTCAAACCATAAAAACAAATATGTCAATCAGGAATTAGAATCATTTTCTTTAAAAATTGATGTTTGTTTACTAAATATTGGCAGCTCTGGAAAGTATGTGTACAAAAATGTCCAAATAACATTGCTCTGAAGACATGATGGTTTCTAGCCTTAGTAATTGATCCAGTGTGTTTAGTTCTTGTTTCACATTTCTGTTATTTATCTTTCTATATCTAAGGGTAAGCACAACTCAAGTGATTTAGTTGATTATGGAGGACAACAAACTTCTGCAATATTCAAGGGGAATGTTAAACTGCCTTTACTATTTCAAGGAGTGTTTAAGAAAAAGCTAAACCATTATCAAGTGTTCTAATGATTGGGAACTACGGAATGATCAATACAATTGATCTCTATTATTCTGACATTGGTCTAAGTGATGTATATCTTTAAGATATTTTGGAGGGATACTGCTTCTCGTTCCTCCATTTTGATGATAAAAATGACAAAAGGAGAAAAAATATCACACCAACCTCAATTTAAAAAATCAGACCAATGGGAGGAAATTTTTACCTGGAACTTACCTCACTCTTGGACTGTTTTAATTTTCTGCAAGATATTAAAACCTTATTTTTTTAACAATTAAGAATTGCTATGTTAAAAAAATGGTTTTGAACATTCAATTGCAAAAAAAAAAAAAAGAATTGACCCTTTATTCTCTTTATTTATTAAGGGTGTGAACAAGCCTCAAATAGTGACTCAAAGTTTACCTCCATTTTCATAAATATTGTTTATGTTGCGTTTTAAACAAAGCTTTCTCAGTTTGTTTCTAAGTAGCTAAGTGTCAGAATGGCCTTAAATTCCCACATCCCTAGGCAGGGTCTACTTACCTGCATTGTCTTCTTCACTGCTGGAGTTCAGGTCTGCATTATGGACAGAAATGCGAGCCATAGCTGCCAGCTCACTTATAAAGCTCTCTTCTGCCTCCTATTGGATTCAGAGACACATTGATCTCAGTAAAGATAGGTGCAGCATGAAAAGATTCAGTCGCCTGCCTAGAAACGCTGATGTGCAGCAGAACACCCACCACTAACTGGGCTTTAACCCTCTCCATGGTTTGGTCCTGGGCCACTTTTTTCCTCCTCAGCTCCTCATACACCATCTCCTGATCCAGATCACTTTGCTCCAGCAGCTTTTGTTTATTCAGTACAACCCTACCACATATCATAAAAAAAAGACACAAATGATGAACTATTCCTATTTAGTCAACCTAGTCTGCTTAAAATGGCTGCTGCTGTGAACTTTTTCACAGTGCTTCCAAAATATTCAATGATTTTCAATGGATGCCTATAATTCCAATGAACTTGAATGTATTTCAGAGGTGATTCTATGTTAAGATTTAGCTCGATTGCATAGCATTTGAATGAAATCCAAACTAATGATCAGTTTAATAGAATCACAGAGGAACTCCTCTGCAGGATTCTGTACCTTTCTTGAAGCTCAGTGGAGGCGGGTCTCTTGCCCCAGTTCATCAGTTCTCTCAGCAAAGCTCTGCTCAGATGGCTGCTGGCATCTTGCCTTTGATTTCTTTCTAAAAATGGTTGTAAAATCAATTGGTCACTCTTATCACCCTAATAAAGGCATTATAACATTATGTAGTTGGCACACAAAAGCAGAAAATCCTCTGAAATACAAAGATATCCGAACATTTAGGTCAGGAAGCATTGTGGGTTGCTTAGCAAATAGTAAATATAATATTACCCTGGTTTAAGTTTAACTGATAGGGCTGTAGATTACTGGAAATGTCCCGTAGGTCAGAGTAATAGATTCGAACGATTGCACTGAGAGAATCTTTGGTTAAATAGACGCTCTCTGCTGCAGCTTCTTTTAGGTGTTGCTAGAGTAGGAAAAAAAGTAAACATGAAAACACTGAATATGTTAAGGATTTATCACTCTCTTCAATCAAGATTGTCAAATGAGTTCTTACTTTCAGATTAGCATCATATTTAGGAGAGGTCAGTGACTGTTTGGGCATGACCTCCATCCTGTGATGGATAGAGTGGCTGAGGGTGTTGCCTAGCAGCAGCTGTGAATGGCTCTGAAGAATCTCCATGGCTGATTCCAGTTCTGACAAGAACTCCTGTTGGAGGTTGTTTCCCAGAAGCTGGCTTTCTGGACCCAGGTGCCTCTCTGCAAGGCTGGCCCTGCTATTCTGCATGGGTAAAATAAGGGCCATCAGCAGAATGCCTCATTCCTAAAGAAGCATTTGCACAAGTAGGCAGTTCAAATGATTCACATAGAGAAGCATCAGGAAGTTAACTGGAGACAGCAGACTGAGAAATAAGAAGCCTGATCAGTGAACACAGCATGTGCTACCACACTCGGGTGAAAACACTACAGTGAAGAAGCTGTAAATGAGGAATGGAGACACAGATATTAAGGTGCAGGGGTTCGGTGAATAAGTCAACAGGGGACCTGAATATCTCGCCTGTTCAGCCAGGCCAACAATTCCCACCAACGACCCCCCCCTGTCAGAGGCATGAACCAGTATCCGGCATTGCAGGCTAACAAAAAACCCAAACGACTGCCCATTTATAAGGGGCCGACCAGTTCGTCAGGTTCAATTTGCATGTTTTCTAAGCCAAACCTAGGCTTTATTTTTGGGCTACTCAATAAAGCCTCGAACATAACGCTAATTCTGACATTTTGAATTGGAAAAGCTTCCTGAATGGGAAGCCAAACGTATTCAAACTTGGAAACAAAGTCCAGCGGATTGTTTTTTTTGAACTTTTTTTGAAAGTCAATAGTAGGTAAAAAGGTAAAAGAAAGAGGCTGTTTTCTACAGAGCCATGGGAGCCTATTATTCAGGCAGGCACATATTTTATCTAGACTTAAAAAAAACAACAGAAAGCTGAACATAGTAAATCATAGTAAGTAAATCTATTATACAACATCCGGGATAATGCTGGAAGTCTTTTTTAAATCTTACTATATATCTACGTAAGAGTCCAACATAATTTTCCTCTTCCCCTCACGCACATATTGTTACATCATCTCTTGCACTGAAATACATAAATAATTTATTTCGAACAGAAAAGCTTCTATTGGCTCCTGTATGATTGTAATAAATCTATGAATGGATTGAAAACTTCCCAAAAGTCTCCAAATCAGAACTTTCTTAAATTCTTAACATCTTCTATTTGTTTAAATCTATCTTGTCAAAAAAAATCCCAAAAACCTAAATGTTAACTATTATTTGGTGAAGGAGGAAATCAAATATAGTGTCATGCATTTTATTTGAGTTTATATTAACAGCTCTGAAGACTTCGTGTGTTTTTAATTATTTAAATCCAACATATATAATGGATTGTTAAGAAGGCAAAACTTGTGATCTGAAGTTGGCCTCAAAATCTGCAACCTTTCTTATTTTGTAGGTATGATTTAAAACAGACTGGCTTACAAAATCCAGTTAAGGCTGTAAGCTTTTATACAAACACTTAGGATTAGGATCATTTTGGTAGATTGGTTGTTGGGAATAAATTATTAAAAAAAAAGAATGTACAGTTCTTGTTTCACTTTGGGTTGGCTTTTCACCCCACACATCTAATTCAATACAATCCTTATAATGCTTTATTCAATCAATTCATTAACAAATCAATGTTCCTACCTTGAGATTTGAATCAACACAGAGTTGTGTTTTATTGGCATCTTCCAACATCAGAGCTCTGAAATCGTTCTGAGAGAGCAGCTTAAGTTTGGACATCCTCATCTCCTTCAGCATATGTAAACTGAAGTGCCTGACCACAAAGGACCTCTGCACCAGCAGCAAGAGGTGCTCATGCTTCTTTTCTATCAGCCGCCCTATGTCACTGAGAAAAAAATCATCAACTTTATTTTCTGATGCAACAAAATTGATTTGAACCCCAAAGTTTTCAAGTTTACCTGCTTAGAGTGTAGCTCTGTCTGGCTACCATAGCTCTGACGATTTTCATTTGCTGTTCAGCCAGATGTTTTAGACAGGCCTGCCTCAGAGCCATCCCATCGATCCACACCTACAACATGACAGGCTGATGTTGGAACACTGAAGGAGTTTGTTGTAATAGAAACACCAAACTAGATCTTTATTGTGTTCATCACCATCCAGATGCAAGATATTTGCAGCAGTCTACCTGCTGATCCTTCTCCAGCTCCGTCCTGATGTGCTCCAGCTGCTGCCTGGTGCTGCTCTCTGCCTGCTGCAGCTCATCAGCCAGTTCCTGCTCCACATCCAGCCATAGATTTTCACAGCGTTCGGCTGTGAGGTTCATCTGAGTAGGAACCGAAGCCAGAAAGATGTCTTTGGCTATTTCAGCCAGCCTGTTCGACCAGCAGGCCCGGAGTTTCTGGAGACACAGAGTTTTATATCAGTTTTATATAGAAATAAACACTATAAACTGTATGTGCATATGAGTAACATGTAGGTAAACTGGTTTAGATAGACGAAGGGTTACAAAAAAACATTAACATTGAAATCACATAAAAAGACTAACATTAAGAATCTAATTTAGAACCTTTCTTTAATCTGTTGTTTTAAAAATATCCGAATCTACTGAAAAATTAACATAAGGAGGTATTTTTCCTTTTACTGTTTTAATTTACATCATGCAATTTCATATTAACCTATTAACCTCAAAGTATTTATATCAGTTTGAAAAACTTTAAGAATGCACCAATGGAAAACTTGCAGCTGATTTATAAAACTAGCTCTGAACTGCTGATACTGACTGTTGCCTAGTTTAAACTGTCTTAAAGATAAGCTTCTATTAAACCCATTCAAAGTATTTACTGGTGGCTTGGCTGCCATGCGATTCCATTTCATGTTGAAAAGCAGGGGGTGATGTCACACTGTTTGCAGCAGAGTGCAGCTGCTGCAAAACTGTGTTTTTCTTATGTTTTAGCACAAAGAGAAAACAAGTAGTTTGCCCATTTTAACCTGTCTGTAGAATCTTAAATCAGCACTATGCTTTCAAGAATTAACTAACTGCAAGGAAGAAGCAATCAAACAGAAAAGAAAGGTAAAACAGAAAGTGTTCCTGTCATCTGCTAAAGCAGGTTGTTTAGCCAGTTTGAAAAAATTAATTCAATTAGTCAATTAATGAAAGAATCGTCAACTAATTTGGTAATAAATGAGTCGTTAGCTGGAGTATAGAGACTATGAAACATGCCTTTAGCAGACAGAGCGATCAACTTAACACAGTGGCTGAATGCTCTGCTCCCCATGGTGGTGAGACGGGCAGAAGGGACAACAGACAGGCGTATAGCAGTTAAGGATCTAAGAGCAGTAATCCTAACAAAATTGTAAAATATGTTCGTTTCACCTGATTTAATTCAGTAAGAAATCTTCATTAATTAACTTTTAGCTATCTAATTATTAATCAATTAATAAAAAATAAAAAAAAAAACATGACAGATTAATAAATTAGCAAAATAATCATTAGTTGCGGCTCTAAAAAATACCTGGAAACTCAACCAAACCCTCCAAAATCTTGGCATAGTTTGTAACTATCTGAACTAAAAGCCGACATGGCTTTGCAGGAAAGTTTCCTGCATAATATCTTCATAACTTTCAATTTTCTCCTTGTAACACTAACTACTGCACCGCAAAGAGCTGCTGTTAGATAACCTGGCAAAGCAGCAGGACACACAGATTATGGGTCAACACTGCATCTCCAGAAAAACTCTGAATGCATTATGTTTTTTTACCTTCCAAAGGTTGCAGAGACTCTCTACGGTTTTGTTGTCCTGCTGCATCTCCAAGTCAGAGATCTGCTTCCTGTGTCTCATCAGCAGCTCCTGATAGACCTTAGATGAGAAATGGCACAGACTGAGCTACAACAGGTAATAATAAATGCAGGTGAGTAGAGCTTCCCGTAGATAACTATAACCCTGGAAACAAGTAAAGTGTTCTAACAGAGGTTTGCTCCTGCAGGTCACAGCGAGTCTGACTCAGCTCCAGAGCTGCACTCCTCTCATTCTTCTGACTCCTCTCCAGTTTCCTCTTCTTGGACTCCTTTTTGCGGCACTTTTCGGTCACCAGCTCCTTTGTTTTCTTTGTGCATTCTGTAGCATAAAAAGAAAGATTAAAGATTATTCAAAAAACAGTTGCAGATTAAAAACAAACAATAAATGATAATGAACTGACTGGCTTTAACAGGCGTTCAATAAATCTAGGTTTTATTAGTGGTGCAGTGTTCCTTTTAATGAAGTGATTAGTGAAAGCTTCTCCACTCCTCCATCTAATGCGACTACCCCCATCATTCATAAATCTTCACTGAGTGTAAGTGGAAGAATAAGTATGTGTTAAAATGTATCAGCTTTAAATACAGATTTTGATTCAACATTTTATCATTTCTTTGAAGATGTGTAAGAGCTTCAGGACAGGTTTAGGCTGCAAGAGTCTGATTGAGATTTTGGAAGACACTATTATGAATGATACTGTGTGCTATTTTCAAATAACCTGGCCTCATTAAATTAGTTAAGGAGGAATCACAGTGTGAGATGAAATATTAGACTGTGCTTTTCATTGGCCAAACAGGAGTAATTGTGTACCTGTCTCTATGCTGGAGTTAAGTTATGTGGGGAGTTGGGAGTCAGAATGGCGGAGAGCGGTTGCCTCCTCACTCTAGACAAGAGAGATGTATAGATACATGCCTTTCAAGGTGATTAAGACTCCCTAATGGCGTGAAAAAAAGATAGCTGTTGTGAAATTTTTTTATCCGACGAGTGAAAAATGTATGTCCTTGATAAACTGAAGATGTTTTCCTCCACATGTTCGTGTGTGAGGTTTTTGTATTCAGGGATGGGTTGGTTCCCCTGGGAGGCTGTGTGTGTGTTGGGAGTAGTTGTATAAATGTATGTGCTGAGCCTGAACCAGTCGGAGCTTTTCACTCCGTCCATGGACATAAAATAAATCTGTATTTTTGCAAAAATTGCCTCGGCCTCAGCTTCCAAACTCCACAACAGAAAATATATATATATGTTTGAAAAGTTTGTAAAATAGGCTGAGTGCCGAAAGGAGCTGAGAAACACATCCGCTGATACATTTATATTTTGTACATTTTTTTTTTTTTTTTGTTTAACCAGAGCCTCTCCTCTATAGCCTTTTTTTCCCCACTGAAATTAGCGGGTTGGCGTGTGTTTTTCAAACATGCGTCGACCTGCTAACAATCAACATTTGGCAAAAAAGCTGGGTCTGACCTCCAACACCATCATGCTGGGTTAGTGTTGATTATGTCACCACTGTGACAAAAATCAGGGAAGTAAATACTGCAGAGCAACATGGATGGGAGCCAGAGCATTTTTTTTATTATTTCACTCTTTTATCTGTCTGAATTCTTAGCAGTGCAGCATCATGTTTATCGAATGTAAGCAAAGTTGTTTCGGCTTGTTAGTTCAGAAGCGAATGGCGTAGTGTGTTAACGTCCGTACGTTGCGTTTAATGGTGTCGGGTAATTCAGCGACTCAACCCGGGTCTGGTGTTCCCACAGCATGCTTGTCAGAGCAGAGGTGATTTTAACACAGGTCGCTTGCCGAGTTGTTTGACCCTGATGGACACGGGTCAGTGAGTTGTTCCCACTGCCGCGAAAAGCTGATTGTTCCCAGATTTAGACAGGTTTTCTGACCAGTGGGAAAGGAGTAAAAGAGAAATTTAATGTCTTAAAGTGTCTTACCCTCTGTGCTTTGCTGAAGCCCTTCAGTCAGAGCGGATTGAATCTCTGAGAGGATCCTTTCCTTGGCGTCAGACCTCAGGTTTCCGGCACTGGTGAGCTGCTCCACGCTTGTAGAAATCAAACCCAGTCTTAGAGTCACCTCCCACCTCAGCAGGGCGGGCTGGGACTGAACAAGCGCTGACATCTCCTCCCACCACAGCAACTTGTCCAAAGTTCTCTGAAAAATATTTAAAAGAATAATTTAAAAATACATTGCTTCACAAATGTTCTCTACACCCTTCAACTGTATCTCATTTGGTCATATTACAGAAATGAGTCAGTTATATTATATTGGTGTTTATTCTGAATTCCCAGCAAAATATCACCCATCTGATATGAAATGGAATTAAAATATTTTACCAGAAAAATCAGAATCTTTTCACAGAGCAAGATCTTGATCACATGGAAAAAAATAATTTGGCTAGAAGCCAACCAAAATATTGCATTCCACCAAAACTGACTGCTTGGACAAAAAAACTGCCGAGACCCAAAACAAATGCAAATGCAGAGATGGCAGCTGTGGAGGAGCTGCTGAGATTCGGGGAACATGGCTAAGACTGAATAGAGCAGGTTGGAGACACATGCTAAGCTCATTGTTTCCATTTTTTTTTTTTGCTGGGCCCACCTAGATTTGCAACAAAAAAAAAAAGTTTTCATACCCCTCTCTCCCCTATATTACCACCAACTGACCTTCGGAACAGCTAAATAATGAAAAGTCAACTGCAATTAATGATATATTGCAATAGAATTAAAGCTCAAAAACTTCCACATGTAAAGTATAATTGTTTTAATTTTAACTCTTTACTGTGTAACAGAATTCTGCAATATTGGAAAACATTAAAAAAATCCTTTCAAAATTACTATTTTACTATTTTCACCTGTGCAATTGCACGGGGTTTCTATTAGTATTGACTCTGTTGGGCAAATGCATGCCACACTTTTCAGATTTGTATTTTCACAAAATTGATGGAAGTATTTTTAATCTCCACTTCCACTTCCTAACTGTGCACTACTTTTTATTAGGTTCTCTCAAAATATTACAACAAAGTTTTATGTTTTTGAACAAAGTGTAAGGATGTGGTGTAAAAAAATATAAACAGATCAAAAAGGATAAATAATTTAAGGCTGTATCCATAAAAAGATAATAAAATTAACATGGTGACAAAAAAAAGAAACCAGCTTTACCTTCAAATCGGCTTCCTGTAACATAATCAGGTGCTCCTCTTCTGACAGGAGAGTCTGAACGACAGAGAGGATGTCCTCCTGCGCTTCTTCAGAATAGAAACCGTCTTTCCTCCGCAGGAGAAGCTGGCACAAATCCTCCAACTGGGAGCTGAAACTTTTGGACTGTGGAGCCAAAATAATAAAAAAGCCTGTAATTAAGTATCTTACCGAGTAGATATGCACGTTTTGGTTATCAGGTTTTTTATTACCGCTTGAAGGCTGCGTTCAAGCAGATCTTTTTGAGCTCTCTCAAACTCTTCCAATGAACAGGAGGCATCATGAGGCGCCTCTTTGGCGGTTTGGCATGAAGTAGATGATTTCCTCAACTCATTCACTTTCTTAAAACAATCAGTGAATTCATACAGAAAAAAAATATTAATTAAAGGGATGTCTATTCTTATAAACTGCAGTACACTAAGCATCTGTTTGTACCTGTTCGTGCATCAAAAGTGTGTTCTTGGCGAAGTCTGCATCATTTTTATCTTTAGGAAACCGAGAACTAAATATAATCCTAAGCATCTGTAGGAAAATCTAAAAAGAAACAAAGTCAAACAAAAGGTTCAGATATAGTTCCATATGCTGCCTGATTTATCGCCCATCACCAACTCACCAGATACTTCTCTTCCTGGAGATCAGAGCTGTTCTGTTCTATTTCCTGCAAGGCCAAACAGTAAAGGCTGATCCTGCCTTCAAAGCTGAAACAACAACAGGTGGGCGGAGGTTATAAGAAGGTCAGTCTTGTTAAAGCTAAACCTTCAGAAGGCCCGTGGCTCCTACCCGCTTTGTGTCAGGGTGTGGGGGAAGTGGAAGACTCTGGTGAAACTCTGGTTCTGCAGACTCCTGGGGAGCTCCATGTTGGAGATGAACTGACTGCTGTCATTGTTGTCCTGTTCTTGGTCCAGAGACCCTCCCTCAGAGGAGGAGGAGGAGGAGGACTCATTAGGCATCGGCGGCAGCTTTGAATGTTCGTGAAGGGATGGGTTTGAAGCGCCGTCTGCTAACGGCTGATGGTTACAAAAATAAAAGCAAAACAAACATGATGAACGGGCTTTGAAATGAAAATCCTGCCTTGCAAAGCCATTCATAAATCTGGCACTTTTTCCACACAACCCCGTACTATTATGTATTTTATTGTGATTTTATGCAACAAGAAAAGAAAAACATAAAGTGAAAAGAAAAAAAAGTTATTTTGAAATGGCCCAGATGGAATAGTGCAAGTGAGATGTTTGCCACAGCAAGAGTCAATTCCTTACATGCTGTTTTATGAAAATTCATGTATAATTTTATCTGTAGGATAAATGCATCTGGCAATGAAATTATGTTGTCACTTACTGACACCACAGGTAGTGCATTCTGATACCAATCTGAGTTGTTGAGACTGTTATTCCTATCTCCTTAAAGCTCCTTAATGTATAATTGATAATTGGTGCTTGCTTTTTTTGTTTTTTGCTCTGTCTTTTTTTTTTTTTTTTACATTTATTGTTTTATTCTTATTTTATTTATTTATTTCACCATAAGTCCAGAATAAAGTATGTCTGTCTGTCTCTATCTAATGAATGGATTTGGGCTTTTATTTACAAGTACACATCTGAAAAGTGCAGTGTTCATTTGCATTGAGTCCATTTGAACCAATTCTTTATAGAACAAATTTTTCCAAATATTACCAGCTGCAGCCACTGTTAAGCAATGTTTTTTTTTTAAATAGTAGGCTATATTAAATGTAAGGCAAAAGGATATATATTTGGTCCCAGCAGATCAAATAACCCTCCTTAACATTGCAGCTAGAAGCAGGGCTCTCAACTCTCCCGCATTGATCGCGTGGAACGTGCATTTCATCAAGTGCACACGCTCACACAGCACAATTGTAATTTCTCACTCTTAAACAATTGCATGTATAGAGTGATACTAAAATATTGATACCTCATTGCACTGAAGACTATAAAATTGATTATCTTATTCAAATTTGGATACTTTTCATAATACAGTCATTTTAGATCATGCATATCAAGAAGTAAATGCACAGGTTTGATGGGAAATAAAAATTATGAGTGACAATTGGAGTACAGAGATCTGAAATTCATTTTTGTTCATTTTAAACAGAAGAAATATAATTCCGAATATCTGAAAGTAACCGCCCAATACACATGAAATGGGAAGTGTGACGTCATTTGTACTAGTAAGTATTACATTTCAGATATCATAAAAGTTAATTTTAGATAGGAAAAATACTATTAAAGATATCTGAAACACATGTCCAGTCAAGAAAATATGTTAAAACAGCCACTTAAAATAAGTAAAGATTCGTAGATATCTAAAATCTAGTTCTTACTGGTACATATTTATTTCCAGATTACCTAACAATGTCAACCGGCAGAAATGCAACTACTGATGATGATAATACAATTCTTACTAGGAGCATTGTAATTGTGACTATGTTTTAGTCCTAGCCAGCCTATTTTATGTTAAAACAGGGTCCCATCATTCTTTTGAAAGTTAGTCAAAATATGTTTGTAAGTATCTAAAACTGTTTTTTTGATAGGCATTATTAAAATTCAGATATCTAGGATTCTAATTTAACTAGTTATATAATAGGTAGCTGATATCTGTAATGATATTCTACTACAAAAAAATACATTTTTGATGACAAGAATTGAATTTCTGGATATCTAGAATATATTAATTTTTGATGCTGAATTTATGATTAGTAGTAACTTAATTGTGGAGAACTTAAATTTTATTTCATACAGTTTAAGCAATCTGGGAAATTTATTTTAGATGGGAACAATGTTAATTTAGATCTCTGGAAGTAAAGGCCAAACACTCATGAATGGGAAACATGACATCCTTTGAAAATTATTTCATGGAAGAATTACATACAATTCTTATATGATAATAATTACATTTAAGATATTGGAAATGTTCATTTTAGATATGAAGAATTTTATTTCAGATGTCTGAAATGTTCATTTTGATTAGTAAGTAATGCATTTGAGATTTCTGACATACGTACATATTCAGACAATCTAATGAATGTTAAAACAGCCTGCCATAGTGACGGCTCTACAGTTTGTTATGAACCTCAAAGACACACGATAAACAGAGTCAATCTTATGGAGACATTGAGCTAAAGCATTCATGTAAAGCAAGTCTCCATGATCTAAAAAAGAAAAAAAATTAGCTGTGACTAACAAGGCGCTTTTTTTTTTTTTTGCTTCAAATGAAAACCAATTTTATTTTGAAAGAAAAAGCCAAGTTACATTTTTTTAACAACATTTTCAATGAGGCTAAACGGTAAGGGAGTCATCAAGATTCCAAGGTATTTGCACTCATTAACCACCTCGGTGACATGGAAATGCTCAGTTAAAATAAGATTTCCTGGCAAATAAATAATTCAAAGTTCATTATATTGATCATACAGAGCAATTGTAATAAAGCTTCTTTGGTGAACTTTAAAAATTGAAATTTAAACTAGATGGGTAATAATAAAAATGTATGAAACATATACTTTGCTATTGACAATAAATTAATTTAGCTATAACTATTAAATTGATATTCAAAGCACAGATGTTGACAATTAACTGCCAATATAATGGCATTTTTTTATTTTAAGAAGTTATAAATTAGAGCCCCCAATTAAAATACAACACTGCTTTTTAAAACACCTAAAGATGCCAATCAGTCCTAAGGAGCTAGTTTGAAGAACAGCTGATAGTTAAATTATTTTGTACATTTAAAAAAAAAACTCATTAGATTTATTAACACAAACGTATTGCATCATATTGCTAACACCAGACAGAATTTCATTGGATGTAAAATTATTTGTTGGTATCAAACACATTTGGGAATATGATTAAAGCCTCGTTTCATCTGCATATCAAATAATGTCATTAAAGAGATTAGACAATGTTTCAAATTACTCTGTTTATCTATGATTTAAAGTAATGATTTTGGTGTCAGTGCCTTCAAATCTTACTCCAAGCTCAGATCTAAACTTGACAGCCCTTTAGAAGTGTTGGACTTACTCTGTATTTCTGGTTGATGGGGTAAACCACTTTGGCTCTAGATGCAAATGCAGCCACGTCACTGTTCATAGGAGCCCACTTCTTTTCCTGCTCAAAAATAACACAACAGGGTAAAAGGGGAGGCTAACAATATTGATATTTATCCTAGCTATGAACCAAAGATG